GTCAATACCGAAAGTTTTATTGGGAGAGTCTTAACCCATTAAAGATAGTGAGCTCTTAAACCTAATCAGTTTCATTGGAAAACTTATGCCGATGGTACATAAGCTTTTGCTAATTTAACCAACAATCTTAACATAGAGTGACTATAAACATAAGGTGAGACAAAAATTAAAATCATAAAAGAACTTATTATTTAGCATGATAAAGTGTTTATCCAAATCTCCTTATATGAAGTTATTGTGGTAATATTAAACATAATTAGAAAAATATTCCACCATCTGCATCCTCCAAACCATCCAATACAATTCGAGAAAATGGCCATTAAAACCCCAAACTTTTAAATTAAAGCCAAAAAAAACTTAAACTAAAGTTTGGGCCAAACAAACTCTCAACTTTCAAATAATGGCCAATTCAACTCTTAATTTATATTGACCAAGCCAATCAAGAATTTTTATTAGTCAAGAGTTAAAATCAATCAAAAACGTTAAACTTCCGTTAACGTATAACAAGATGTCGTTTTGAATAAGACACTAAACCCACATAAACTTTTTTCTCGTGAATCAAAATTTCCAAACTCCAAAAGCCCTAAAATCTCTAATTCTCCAATACTTCTTTTATGAATAACGACGACGGATCATAGGCTAGAAACGGCGAGAACTACAAACTTGGTTTTGGGTCAGATTTTAAGGATGGCTAAGACGAAGATGAACGGTCTAGTTCGTCATACTGGAGGACATGAATTGCAGAGTGTAAGAGAAGCTAGAGAATCTGTGGTTGAGCAACAGAGTCAAATTGATGAAGAATGGGATAATGCGGCTGAGGAGAACGGTATAGACGTCCAAGAAGAATTTTTCGGGGATCTAAGATCTCACTTTGGTGATGATGCAAGGAACGAGGCTGATGAGAGCGATGGAGATAGTGGTGATGACATTTGGGATGATGATAAAATCCCAGACCCATTGTCATCTGATGAAGATGAAGAAGAGTTTGAGCGTAGAGAAGAAATTGTAAATACACTTGAATACAAAGAGCTTTTGTATTTGGGAAAAACGTACGGGTGTGCATCTGAATTTAAAGTGGTGTTGCTTAGGTATTCTCTCCGAACAAGGTATGATATCAAGCTTTATAAGTCTTGTGCTAAGCATCTTGGCGCAAAATGCTCAGATATAGAGTCTAAATGTCCTTGGAGAATTTATTGTTCCTATGAAAGAAGAAGACATAAGATGCAAGTGAAGGTATTTGTGAATGAGCATTGTTGCATTAGGTCAGGGCACTCGAAGATGTTGAAGACTTCTTCTATTGCCATGCTCTTTGAGGAACGATTAAGACTAAATCCTAAGTTTACTAGAACGGAGATGGCAGATGAGAAAAAGAGAGAATATAATATGAGTGTCACCGAGGAACAGTGTGGAAAAGCAAAATCCAAGCTTTACAGAGAAAGAAAAGCCAGCCACGAAGCTCACTTCTCTCGAATTTGGGACTACCAAGCTGAGGTCCTACAATCTAATAAATACTCTACTATGAAGATTGAGACTGTTCCAGGGCCTGCGGTACAGAGCAAACAAAGATTTGATCGCCTCTATATGTGTTTTACAGCTCAAAGAGAGACTTGGATTGAAACTTGTAGGCCCATCATCGGTTTAGATGGTGCATTTCTGAAATGGGATATAAAAGGACATTTGTTAGCAGCTGTTGGAAGAGATGGTGACAATAGAATAGTTCCAATTGCTTGGGCCGTGGTTGAGGTAGAGAATAACGTAAACTGGGAGTGGTTTGTTAGACTGCTGAAGGACGATTTAGGACTGCAAGATGGGTACAAATTCACCATCATTTCAGACAAGCAAAAGGTTAGAATATTTATTTGATTAATTTTTTTTATGAAAGATGACTAAAATGTTTACTAACTGATGTAGGGTTTGGTGAATGCTGTTAAAAGTGAACTACCAGAAGCAGAACACCGTATGTGTGCAAGACACATATTGTCAAACTGGAAAAGAGATGGTAAAGATCCCGAGTTAGAGCGTATGTTTTGGATAATAGCTAGGTGCTACACTAAAGGAGAGTACGAAGATGCTTTAGAAGTACTGAAGAAATATAATCGAGGTGCGTTTGATACTCTTCAACTACAGAATCCAACAACATGGTCTAGGGCTTTCTTTAGAGTTGGCTCATTTTGCAATGATAATCTCAACAACCTCTGTGAGTCTTTTAATAAAACCATTAGAGAAGCAAGGAGAAAACCATTACTTGACATGTTGGAAGATATTAGGAGACAATGCATGGTTCGTAATGCAAAGAGAGCTTTTCTTGCTAGTAGGCTGAAAACATATTTTACTAAGAAAGCACACATTGAGATTGAACTCAACAAAGAGAAGGCTAAAGATTGCAGAAGATTCATTGCTTGTGGAAACGTCCATGAGGTTGATGACTATGGTGTTTCTTATCGTGTGGACATGGATCTTCGAACATGTGGCTGTATAAAATGGCAGCTTACTGGAATCCCTTGTATACATGCTTCTTGTGTGATTACAGCCAAGAAAATTAGGACTGAAGATTATGTTTCAGATTTTTACACTGCCCAAAAGTGGAGACAAACATATAGCCGTGGAATTCGACCTGTCCAAGGCATGAAGTTGTGGCCTAGATTAAATAGGATAGGAGTTTTGCCACCCCCATTTAGAGTAGGCAACCGTGGAAGACCAAGTAACTACAATAGGAAGAAAAGTCTCAATGAAACTTCATCCAACAAGAGCAAGATGACACGGGACAAGCGAAGCATGACATGCTCAAACTGTCATGAGGAAGGTCATAACAAGGTGACATGTGCTAATGAAAGAGTTGAAACTACGCCTAAAAGGCCAAGAGGTCGACCAAGAAAAGATACTTTGGTATGTATTTTATTTTTAATATTTTACCAAGTTGATTGTCTTGTTGTTATGATTGACTTTTTTTACGTGATTTTGCAGGGAGACCCATTGCAAGGACTCTCCTAAGACTTTTCTCAGTCCTCACAAGTGTGATCTTGACTTATTTAAGTTTGAGTTATGTTTTATGTTTTCATTTGTATTGAAATTATTTACTTAGGTGTCTTGACTTTGTGTTTTATTTTTTATTTTTTTGCTTAACATATGATTTGTGTTTTTGTTTTGTTTTGACTTTATATTTTTGTCTAAAAATCATCAGAAGTGTGATCTTGATAATGTGTTGTCTAAATATATGGTTTGTCTAAATGTGACTTTGCAAAACTGCTTATAAGATACAACAAGAAAATGCACAAGATAGCAACATACATACACAAAATAGCAACAGTCATCACATTCTCGTACCATTGCAAAAGTCAAACATACACCAACCAAAAACATCACATTCTCACAAAATTGTCTGCAACATAGAAAGTACCAATTAACCTAAGAAACAAGGAACACCGTTGCCATAAGTAAACAAGAAATAACGACGCTTTTCATTATCACTTCAGACTTCTTGATGTGGCTTTTGTGACACACCAAGTCTTCCTTAGTCTCATGAAGCACGCCTTTGAGCTCTTCACATTGCTCAATTCTGTCTCCAAGTTTCCATGTCTAGGTAATGCATCATCAACTTCTTCAAATATTGAATCTTCAACCCACCTAAAAAAGTGATCCTATGAACAAGAAAAAACCACTTAATCATGTGATGAAGAACAAACGACACTGCCATAGGGAGTGATCAAGTTATAACCACAGCTTACCTCATTTTTTTTACTCTGACAACGGAAGAATGGACGACATGGGTTGTCTTGCGTTCTTGACGTTAAAACCATCACATTCCGACCACATAAAGGAAAGCCACGATTCTCAACATATTTTTCAGACTTAGAATTCATCTTCCTAAGCATACTAATCAACAAAACGACATCAATAATAATCAATAAAAACAAAACGAGAAGATATCGAGACTTAAAATTTGATTTCACAATCCATCACAAAACCTGAGAAGCACTTTACAGTGAGAATTTGATTTCATCTTCCTCGTCCACGAACCCGAGATTCAGAGGTAGGAGAGCACTTACCTCTTGCCAGAACAGACACTACTTGTTTTCATTGGAGAACAGCCATTTCTTGTATCCGGAATCACCACAACTATGATATCATTTAGGGTTTCAGAGAAGAAGAAGGATTGGAGATCGCCGGCCTCATCGTCTCTAGCCTAAGATACGTCGTCGTTAATTCATAGACAAGTTGAAGGATTGGAGAATAAGAGATTTTGGAGCTTTTGGAATTTGGGAATTTTGGTTCACGGGAGCAAAGATTAGTTGAGTTTAGTGTCTTATTCAAAACGACGTCTTATTATGTGTTAACGGAGATTTAACGTTTTTTATTGATTTTAACTGTTGACTAATAGTGATTCTTGATTGGCTTGGTCAATATAAATTGAGAGTTAAATCAGCTATTATTTGAAAGTTGAAAGTTTATTTGGCTCAAACTTTAGTTTAAGTTTTTTTTGGCTTTAATTTGAAAGTTTGGAGTTTTAATGGCCATTTTCTCAATACAATTCTATAAAGATATAGTTTTTCAATTAAACTAATTTAAAAAAAAAAATCTCAGAAAAATCATTTTTAGATTTTTTTATAGCTGGACTATTTACGTCAGAGATATCTTGAAGTCACTGTATATTATCTTGCCAAATCTAATTAAGATCTTGTGTCAGAAAAAAAATCTTAGAAATCTAAAACTAGGAAGGCAAATCGTCAATCGTCCAGGGTATGCTCGTCTTTTTGACTCCTCTTTTGGTGCCACGTATGCACAAGTTTTCACTCTTTGGTATTCTCCTAATATTGGTATCTTCCTATGGTTTTAGCCTAAATTGTTCTAAAAAAAATAATAATTATTAATTAATTACTAAAATAGAAATACACATTATTATATATATATATACACATAAATACGTATATCATACAAATACACTCTGCCGCACAATCACCCCGCCACCGCACGCACCACACTTCACCGGAGACGCCGCACTGTCAGGCCACCACTTCTCTTTTCCGTTTCATCATCTTGCCACACCACCACTTCTCCTTCCTCTCATCGTCAGATTCACCTTTCCTATACACACAAAGAGAGTTCAGAACAAATGAAACATTAAGAAAGAACTCAGCTTTTTGGCATCTAAGAACACAGATAGAGTCGAGAACAAAGATGAATAATTTATGATTCACAACTACCAGAGATACAAATTAAAGCATATAAAAAAGACGATTAGATTAAAGTAAACGAGGAGAGAGAGAGGATTTGGTACCTCTTGCGATACTCGCGGAAGAAGTAGAGAGAAGGAGTAGAGAGAAGGGAAGGGTCAGACTTGCATTGATCGGTGAAGACCTTTACCGTCACTCCGTCGTCTTCTTCACCGTCTGCTCCGTCACCCACATTCTCCTTGAATTTTTCATCACTGTTTGTTCTCGAATCTATTAAAAAAACAAAACATATCAACTAGAAATAGAGGAGGTGAAACCAGAGAAGAGGAAGACAAAGAAAGGTGGACCCGGTGATTATGGTGAGAGAGGTGAAGGCATGACTCGATTGTGACAGAGAAAGAGATAGAATGGAAGAAGAAGAATCAGACGAAGGAGAGAGCAAAAGAGAAAAAAAAGAAAAAGAAAGAAACACAACAGGATTTAATCTGGACCCTTCATAAGTTTAATCTAATGATTAAAATTATCAATCCACACAACTCCTTCTTGGTAACCTTGAATCTAACTACTTTCTATTATTGTTTTAAAAACCAAAACTCATTCTCTTGAGCAACTTACCATTGCTCACAACTGAAATTTACTGTTTTTAAACTTAATCAACCTAGCTTAATCAATTAGGATTATATCTTTTGTGTCTCTATTTCCTTGTGGATTCGATCCCTAAGTACTTCGACTGAACCTCTTATTTGAGAGAGTAATTCACTCCTTAAGGTTAAACATTTGAGTGATATCAAATTAGGCGCCGTTGCCGGGGAACTAAGATAACCATTAGATTTAATCTGATTTAGTCTAGGTTACTTGTTACTTTTTATTCTCTCATCTTTTGACACAAAAAATTTTCTTTTTCTTGTCTTTTTCAGGTACATGCTCAACAGTACTAGAAGCAACAAGAACAAGAAACTTGTGTAATCAGAAGATCCCCACAGTTTGGAACGTAGCATCCGTAAAGACCTACGCTCCACATCGATCGACACCAACCCCTCTCTGTCGACCGATATCCGCTTCCACCGTCGACCAACAACCGTTCGTCAACCAACAACCGTTCGTCGACCGATACTCTCACCGTTCCATCGATCGACATCAACAACTGTTCGTCGACCGATACCCTTCACCTGACATCGATCGATATACCTCACTTTACATCGATCGATACTAACCGGCGAGACATGGTAGCGCCTATGATTCTCATACCTGATGAGAATGGAGACCTGCGTGAACGAGATGGTCACCTACGTAATGCAGCATGTCAGAAGCTGAATGATCAGAAGGACGTCATTCCTGAACAAGACAGTGCACCTACAGACATTCAACCTGTAGAGGAGGCTAACCAAGCTAGAACTTTGGCTGACTACAACCGTCCAGATCAATTCTATTCCAACCGATCAGCCATCCGCCCTCCTGCTATTCAGAGAGGAGATTTCGAGCTCAAGCCGCAGTACTACACACTTGTAGGACAAATCCCCTTTTGTGGATTGTCCCATGAGCATCCTATGGACCATCTGGAGAGGTTCGAGGATCTCGTAACCCTCATCAAACCCAAAGGAGTCCCTCAAGACTATCTTCTCTGCAAGCTTTTCAAGTACTCTCTATCTGGAGAAGCTTTTCAATGGCTGAGACAACTACCATCAGGTTCTCTTACAACCTGAAGTGACATCAAACACGCCTTCATGCGTAAATTTTTTGATGCTTCACGCGCTGAAGACTGGAGGAAGAAAATTGCTACATTCACTCAAGATCCTGAAGAATCATTCAAGGATACTTGGAACAGATTCAAATCCTACCAGCGAGATTGCCCACACCACGGATTCAACAAAGTGCATATGCTCTGCACTTTCTACATAGGCATCACCTTGGATTTTAAGAGAGCCCTTGATACAACTAGTGATGGCAACTTCACCACCAGGAATCCGCGAGATGCTGTGAAGTTAATTGATAACTTAGTTTCAAGCAACAACACAAAGAACTTTGTGACAACAAAGGCTACATCATTCCTTGGGAAGGAGTACATCAATGAAGTGCAAGCACAGCTGAATACCGTACAGAAGCTCCTAAACAAGCAGATTTGCTCAGTGGAGGATGCAGACATTGTTGAAGAAGATGTAAAATGGATAAGTGGAGCTGGTATTCAGAGATCTGGTAACCAAGGAGGATACAAAAACTTCACAGGACAGAGAAGCAACTTCAACCAGAAGCCTAACAACTTCAGCAGCAGTAACCCCAACAACAACATGAGCTATGAAAATTCTTTCTACTCAAATCCACACCCACCCACCCAAGAGAGCAAACTGGAGGAGTTGATAGACAAGGTACTTGAGAGTCAGCAGAATCTCCAGATAGACTTCAATGATCGCTACCACTTGAATTCCTTGAAAGTTCGAATTGTCAAAGATCGCTACCACTTGAATTCCTTGAAAGTTCGAATTGTCCTCAGGACACTGCAGACTCAACACAGAAGAGCACTAATGTATCAAGTTCTTCTCCTTCCCTGGATGTAAACATAGATAATGGAGAGGATCTTGGAGATTTGGATTCAAGTAAAGAAGTTACTTTAGAAGACTTCTTGGAGCTGAAGGAAGGGCTTGAAGATATAGATCAGAATTTGGAGCAGAAGTTTGATGACGAACATAATGCAGGAGAGACTTCATCAAAGGCTAGCATCGATCGGCACCAACCTGATGAGATCGATCGATACCCTCCCTGCATCATCGATATACATCCACCTTACAGCATCGATTGACAGTCGCCTTACATCATCGATCTACATACATCTGATTGCATCGATCGACATCCACCCGATTGTATCGATCGACAACCATGGTCGTATTAACTGCCAGGATACACAGACAAGTTAGAACCAGTTGAGGAGATAGTGCATAATTCTGAAGCCTCACACATTACTGTCCCTAAACATCAGAGACCACCTATTTGGACAGGAGAAGCTGATGGGTTTCACAAAGGAGTGAAAATGAGTGAAAATGATACATGATCCTGTTAAGATTGTGGTTCCAAATGCGGTGTTTGAGGCTGAATCTCCTATCCCACCAGATAAAAGTATGGAGTTAAGTTCCTATAGTGGAGTATTAGATGATCATCAGCACGTACAAGTTTCACAGAGAGGGTTGAGATTTTGAGATGAAGTCGATAAAGCCCTAGCAGAAGAAGCATTGATCGACATGATCAATCCACAATCGATCGACACTACCACTGGCTCATCGATCGACACCAGACGCGAATCAGCGCAGAATGAGTATGAAGTGTGTGGAAATATTTTTGATGGAGATACCACCACGCATTCAGACAAGTCTGGGGGAAAGAAGAGGATGAATTGGAAGAAGAGAAAAAGAATCAATAGAGGTTCTCAGTTATCATTGATTTTTCACTTCTCTGATGATGTCAGGATATCCAAAGTGAGATTACACAAGTCTGTGGGAAAGAAGGGGAGAAATTGGAAGAAGCGGAAACGAACAAAAGGAGGTTCTCAATTACCATGGACTCCTTACTTTTCAGATAGTATCAGACAATCAAGAGTGCGCAGTAGATGTTTCTCACATCCATATGAAAAGCTTATAGCACTCCTTATTGCTGAGATGATAGACAAAGGAGAAAAGTCTATGGAGGAGGCTTTCACACACGAATGATAAAGCTTCAAGAATAGTAGATATTGAGACTTGAACTGGAGCAAGTTCTCATTCGCATCCGGACTGAATCAGATCTCCAGAAGTCAAGCTAATGACTAAAAATAAGCGCTAAGTGGGAGGCAACCCACTGTTAGGTTATTTTCAATATGGTTTTATTTTCATTTATTACTGATATTTTGTTTTCTAAGGATTTCAGGTTAAAAAAAATGTTGGTTTTATTAGTTATCTATTACTAACTGTTAGAGTATTAGTGTATTAGTGTTTTATTTATGTCAGGTAAAAGGAAAAGATAAAGAGGAAGATTAGTTTTGTGCCAGCTATCGAAAGACAACCGGCCGGTGTCACTCGACAGATCATCACAAGTATTGATCGCCACTTAACTGTGTTGATCGCTACTCACATCAAAGCAGGTATACAGTCTTTCTTTGTTAAATGTTTTCCTTATGGTTTATTGTCCCACCAATCTTTGGCTGTATAACATTGGTCACAGTGTTATTAAAGTCTGGGGGAGGTTCTACTAATATTATGTTTGAGTTAGATATTTAGAATACAAACCCGAGTAGACAATTTCCTTGGATATCGACCGACGAGAAACAGTCGCTATCGATCGACAGTACATCACTTACATCGACCGATGGTATCTCTTTTTTATCGATCGATACTTAATCCGGTCAGGTATATCGTTCTTACTTGTTAAATTTCGTACTTATGCTTTATAATTTTCCCCTTACCACAGACTGTGTTACACTGGGGATAATGTAATTAAAGTCTGGGGGGATTACTAACGTTTATCTACTTTTTGAGTCTTATTTAAAATGTTCTCAAAAAGTTTTTATTGAGTTAAGAAGGGGATGATGATCTATTTTGATTTATTACTTGTCATCTAACCACTCTTTAGACCAGTCTTAGATTTTCTGATTGCAGAAGTACTAGAGATACTAAAGTGGATCAACCTGTCAACTATGTTTGCACTTGCTGAGAATGTTTGAAGGAACCAAAGCTGACCTCCAACCTAATATTGCCTTGATTTGCTTGTCTTGGGGATTGGTATACACTGGATCGGATTCCTCCTTTAGAACTGAAAGGTAAAAGTCTTGGTGATTTTGGTTTCCTTCTCTCCTTCCTTTGGCATCCCAAAAAGAATAATAAAATATTGAGATGATTTCCTGAGAGGCAGAGGGAGAGGTACATTACCCATGACCCCACTATTCTAATTCAAAGGAAGGATCACACATTGTGGAATCGAGGGAAAGGTACATTACCCATGACCCCACTATTCGCCTACACTTTGCCAGAAAAAGCTACAAAAGTAGAAAGATTAATAAGATGAGCATTTGTTGTTCATTGGGATTGACAATAAAAAAAAAGAAAAAAAAAGAAAATTTGGGATTCAAAGAAGGAAGATATAGGGAGAAAATAAACCATAATAAGACTGCTTATTTACTCAGATATCTGCTGGAGTGAGAGTCCACGTGTCCTTTGATCGATATTGCCAGAGTAAAACCTGTACCTTTATTTATGTAAGAAATGAGGTTGGTAGAGGGGATTGTCGGACATGATCTGTTGAGTTGTTGACTAGGTGAATTTGGTTGATATACTAGGATATTGTATAATGTGCTTCTAAGGTTAGGATGTTTATGATTTGGTTTGCACTACTAGAGAGATGGTGACTGAGTTTTTAAAATATTTTGAGTCCCTGCTGTTTTCACATTGTGGAAGCGAGGGAGAGGTAAATTACCTCTGACCCCACTATTCGCCTACACTTTGTCAAAAAGCTACAAAAAAGTAGAAAGATCAATAAGA